AGATGTTCTTGTTGCTTCGTCTTGATTTCGACGCCACCGTCTCTCTAGCCGTAACTCCTGGGTATACCAAGGAGCCAGCTTAGAGTGGGGCGTAGAGGCCACTGTGGAGCGATCTCATCGATGGTCATGGAGAATAGGGCCCTGATCTCCTCCGGGAGCTCGTTCCACCAGGTAGGGGCCGCCACCGAAAAGGCCCCGGCCCTAGTAGCAGCTAGCCCGGCCTCCCTCGGGCCAGGGAGGGTCAACCAATTTTGAGACCCAGACCGTAGTGCTCTCTGGGGTATATACAGGGAAAGGCGGTCCCGTAGGTATGCTGGACCCCAGCCATATAGGGCTTTAAAGGTAAGAACCAGCACTTTAAAGCGGATTCAGTATGCTATTGGCAGCCAGTGCAGTGTCCTCAGAACAGGCTGGATGTGCTCACATTTAGGGAGACCCATCAACAACCTGGCCGCAGCAATCTGCACTAGCTGCAGTTTCTGGATCCATGACAAAGGCAGCCCCATATAGAGAGCGTTACAGTATCTAGTCTCGAGGTGACCATTGCGTGGATCACTGTAGCCAGGTCAGCACGGTCAAGGAGGTGAACCAACTGCCTAATCAGCCTCAAATGATAACAGGCTGACTTGGCAGTGGTGGCTACCTGGGCCTCCATGGTAAGGGAGGAATCCAGGAGCACTCCCGAACTCCAAACCTCCAGCGCAGGGACCAGTGAGCCTCCCAGACCAGGCCAGTACAGTCAATGCCCGTGATCCTCAGAGGCAGAAGTGCCCTAAAGGAGTACGCCTCCCGGATAAATAATGCCACTCTCCCCCTGGCCCCTAGTCCGAGATTGGTGAAGGACTGAGAACCCAGGGGGGCAATTCTGCTGTAGCAAGGAATCCCTAAGGACCATGGTCGTATTATTTATGGACCTGGCGTTACATGTAAAAAGGTTCATAAATACTGGGTTGGAGTACATGCTTTCTTACAGTCAGTGTTGAATATTACAATACCTTTTAAGCCAGAGATATTTGTTAAACTGTTTACCAGATGACTTAGATAAGAACCATAGATATTTTATTTTACATGTTATAACAGCAGCCAGAATTTTATTAGTGAAGACATGGAGGTCATTGAAGATCCCAACACTGTATGAGTTGATAATGAAGATTATGAAATGTGCTGAAATGGACAGACTGACAAATATATTAAAAGGAGAAATGGAAGAATTTATGGGACCATGGAGGGCATTTTATGACTGGCTAAGTCTTAAATAAGATTAAATGAAGAATAATAAGCATGATGGATATAGTAGCTGTGAAGCTCTAATGAGAAGATGTGCATACAAAATGTTAAATTGGATTGTTTATATATATATTTCTGTATCTTTCCTTTTCCCTTCTTTCCCCTTTCCCTTTTTCTGGGCATAAACTAATAACATTATTTTTTAAAAAAACACAAGGATCGAGAAGATGTGCGGGAAATCGGGGGGAGCAGTGGGTCACTCGCTGAATAGTGTGAAATTAACCAATGCAAACAGAAGAGCAAGGGCGGCACAGCTGCTTGTGGAGAATCGGTCCAAGTGGCTTTACCAGTATTCTGCTGCCCATTCCTATGTATGTTTCTCCTTCCTGTTAGTAAGTTTTGTCTGCAGAACTACCCATGAACATATCTTGTAAGCTTCAGTCCTTGCTGTGTCCCTGCCTGTTCTCCTTTGCTCCCAAGCCCTGTTGCTCCTTCTATTTGGGACATTATTTTTTCCTCACAAATATGAATAGACTGTATGTGATACAGGTTATTGGAGGGCTCAAAGGAAATTGTCTCACAACTGACCTCAGTGAGTCAGAGATAAGCATTAAATTAACATCACGTCTCAGTAGGATCATGACTGGGCACCATAAATAATACTGATGCCAGCCAGTGGACCTGAATACCTAACATAGAACATCGTTCAGTGCATACAGATACATCTTGTGACATCAGTACACACAAACAAGTGCCCTTTCTCCAAAGCAGTGAGCATTTGTGACTTTATGAAATAAATCAGTGTGGCTGATTTGCGGATTATACTGCAAAGGATCCATAAAACTGGTAGAGGAAAAATCAAAGCCTGGATGAAAAGCTGCAAAATACAAGGGTGTTTTTTTGTTTTGTTTTGTTTTAATGGCAAACAAGATTCCCAGAGGTGCAGCAAAGATTCTGCAGGCAAACTACTTATGATGTACTGCTTCCTCTGTGATCTGATCTTGTATGTGTTTGATCTCTACATGAGAACAATATAGGCTGACTGCTGCTTCTTGTATTTCATAGCTTTTTGGCCACACAATTAACATTTCTGTGTGTGTTTGTGTATGTGAGAGAGAGAACAGTACTTCATGCATTGGATTCACTAGGCTGTAATTCATGAAAGTTGACTTAATAGTTTTCCAAAAAGAGACTAGAATTCACCATAAGCTGCTGTTTGGTATGTTGTCCTTTGTGTGTGTGTGTGAGAGAGAGAGTAAGGGCACCAAAGCATTCCCTAATCGAATCCTTGTGAAGATAATTATGGGTTAAATTTGAGAAGTAAGTGATGTACAATAGTGCATAGTGAAGAGGAGGAAAGCAGTTGTTCATACATTTTGCATCATTGCTTAATACAGTTTTACCATTTATATATTTATTACTTGTACATTCCACTTTTCTTACAGGGATTTTGAGGTGGTATGCATAGCATTTTGAGGTAGTCTCTCATCTCATAGTGTAGCAAAGAAATACTTATTCCTCTTGAATTTATACTGTGTAAGAAGGCTGTACAAAATATTCTGTTTAGTTAATAAAATGCTTCAGTAGAAAACAAGCAACTTAAATGTCATTCAGAAATACTGCCTAATAATGGGATTATTTTCTAATATGCTAATTTATAGTCACCCATTTATAAACTTGCCTTACAAAAATGGTTTCATTGTAACCGAAAGCTGCTCAAGTGAGTGATGTTTAAAGAACTAATATCAGCAGTGTCTCCCTGATGTATATCTGTGGGGAGCAGGGAAGTTGCCTACATTCAGTAGGTATGTGACAACAATGGAAAAAATAAAACTCATGGTTGTATGGAAAGACCCTCCTGGTGCAATACAGGAAGGTTTACATGTATTGAAGAAAGGTGGTGGTGTTGTTTTTTAAGAGAGATGGAATTTATACTTATTGATGCTAATGAAAATTTAATCCACCTAATCCCCCCCCCCGATATTATGGTTCTAAAATACCTGGCTATGTTTGCAGAGCTGTACCAATGAGTTACCAATGTCTCGTTCTTCTTGCTTGGATCAGATTGTTGCCAGGCTTGGATCAGATTGCTGTTTAAATGCAGTTTGCCACAATTTTCACCTTATTTTTTTCTTTACCAGTTACTGATGGATATGAGCACACATGCATATTGATAAAATTGCAGCTCAAAAGCAGGAATCCTGATGTGATTGCTGTGAAGTTTCTTCTTGCATGGTGTTTTAATCAGTTTGCATCTGTGTTTAGGAACATCTGTAAATTTTAGGGAAACAAAAGAGACAGTACTGAAAATGACAGAAAACTTCTCATTCACCAATTCTGGAATTAGTTTTAGAAATTCTCTGACTTAACCCAGAATGCAAGCAGGTCAGAACATGCATAGAAAGGAAAGGGGATAGCAACTACTCCTTAAGTCTGTTTTTTGTTTGCTTATTAGTTTTCAACATCCAAAAATTATAGTATGGAAAAGATTTGTCTGAGATTTTCATCAATGAAAAATAAAAGCTACTGATGAGGGTTTGTTGCCTGTTTCATATCCTCTTTCCTTTGCTTCCTTACAGTGTTGCTAAGAACCACAAACAAAATCTAATGACTGTCGCAAATCTGGGAGTTGTTTTCGGACCAACGTTAATGCGGCCACAAGAAGAAACAGTTGCTGCAATTATGGACATCAAGTTCCAAAACATTGTGGTTGAGATCTTAATAGAAAATCACGAAAAGGTAACTTCTCCATAAATGTGCCGATTCTTCTCCTTTTCATAACCTGCTGTTTACAAATGCTTTGGAGCCCAGTGCATGTTGTCTCAACTGGCTTTCTTCACAAGCTTGCTGAAGGAAAGAAAGGGCAAAATCCATGGTGAGGAACTGGCTCTCATGCACCTGATATCTTGTGTCCAACTTACATTTATGTTGCAATATTAAATGTTTCAGGATGTGTATACCTTGACAGTTTGTCAGTGGAAAATGTATATACCTAAAAATGTAACCTATTCTCCATCCTGAAGAAATCAGTCTTGTAACTGCACAAAATTGTCATTGCCGCACAATTATCCTGATCTGTATTTTTTAAAAAAAATCTGATCCCATTTACCTTTATGGTACGTTTTTCCAATTTCCTGTTTGAGGAACAGCTGTGAGGATTTTTGTTTTCAGTTTTGATCTCTGCATTATTCCGTATGTTCACAAAAAAACCTTCTATTGTCTCAGTGGTCACATTCTACTCATGGCCCCAAGAATCCAATTTAAAAAAGAATAATTGGGAAGTTCATTTTACACAGAGCTTTTAGGAAATAATGACTGAAAAATAACTGGTGGGCGCTCTAACAAGTGTGATATCAGTTGGGAAAGAAAGAAGACCACCTATTAAAAAATCTATAAATAATCAGAAGAGCCATTCTGCTGTGAAAAGTAGTGGATTGTGCTATCTTTCATGGCTGGATAATGTTTTTGTTTTATTTTTAAAGAATCAATAATTGGATGACACTTCATGTACTACATCTGTCATGTTCTCATCTTCACTTTCAGCCTTTAGTGTACAATGTGCTGTGTTACGTGGGCACTCATTTTTTTTCTTTCATGGGTTTCATTTTGCTAAAAGCTGTTGCTCTTTCGAAGGATAATTATTGGCAACTGATCTCTAAAATGGTTTGTGTTGGTTTTAGGGTGATTTACCTGAGATATGGAACAGGCATTTTAAAGAACACCACCAATTCTGCAAGATGCTTACATACTAAACTAAACAAAACTGTGGATTACCGTCTTGACATAGATTCACTTTTTACAAATATGAGGGGGGAGATAGTAAAAGTGGTAGACAATCTGCTTGAAAGTAACCAGCAGAGCTAATTAATGTATTGTGCCTCTGTTTCATAACATGTCTTAATTTGAACCAGTTTAAGTTAATAAGCAAACATAGTAATCAAATACACCAAACTCACCTACACCTTTCTCAGTTGCTTTTGGAAGTTCTGTATCAGTGACTAACAGCACAAACCAGAGGACTGCTGCAGTAATGGTGGTCTAATGCAAAAGTGGTGCCACTGGTCCATTCCCTGTGGACATGCCACAGAGATAAATAACTGTACACACCCCATCCCCAAGACACAGATGGCACAGCAAGTACACTGGAGTCCATAGCAACCCCAGCAACACCCACCAATCAGAAAACTGCAGCTGATGACATCCCTGTGAGTGGCATACACAGGCGCGGCCAGTCACCACCCATCAATCCGACCCACTGCCTCTCCATGCCACAGTACTACCGCCGTCATTCATGAAGAGCTAGCAGACGGGGGAGGAAAAGCACAGCAACAGTCGAACCCCAACAGAGGCAAATGGCCTAAGCACCCCTGTTGTGTACCCGGAGAAACCGCGCACGCGGTCGCGTCCACACGTGGCCATGCAAATGGCCCAAGCTTCGCTTCCAGAGACAATAGCCTGAATGGAACCTAGGGCGCGCCTATCGGATGGCTAGGATCCGAGAATGGACCTATGGGACTTGGGTGCACTGTAAATATCCTATCACGTGTGTGTGTGTGTGTGTGTGTGTGTTGGGTGTGGTTTGCCACGAGGATATAAGCCGGCCTCTGGCCCGGCTACTTCATCTCCTGTTCTCCTGTATATAATAAAGTATGAGCTGAAATCACTCCTCCATGCATCAGTCTCAGTACTTTATCCCCCCAAGCCCATAGGGGAGAGGTATCCGTGTGGCAGACAGGAACCACACAAACCCTATGCCATGAAAAACAAAAGAAGAAAGACAAGAAAGAGAGAGAGAGGTGAGGTCCAAACCCACAGCCTTCACATTCACAACTAGCAAGCTAATCACAGGGCCAAGAGGGTAGGTCCAAAGGAGCCATTCTAACAGTCAATAGCTGTGAGGTCACCATCAGCCTGATGGCACCAGGCAGAGACCATTGTCCAGACAGGCATGGCTCAGTGGGAAGGCACTGGGATAGTATGGCCAAGCCTCTTGGTTCAGTCACCACACGGAGAGATGGTGAGAGACAGGCAAAAACCTTGGCGCTGACAGTCCGCCCCTGCAAACCACAAAAGGGAGAATGGGATGGTGCAGCTGATGGACTGTTTTGGAGATCTATTGTTTTGTCAGGGATCCTAGTCTCTCCATGCTATAGCAGCCACATGCACCTTCAGACCACTCAGCAGCTTGTTCCAAATGCAAGCTGTACATACCAACCAGCAGAATGTGTGTGGTGGTGGGGAAGGGAGGACTAATATGTGGAGTCAGCCATCAAGGTGCCACTGGAACTTGCCATGTATTGCAGCTGAACAAAGAAGAAGTTCAGTGGCATCATAAAGACCAGCAGTAGTGATCCCAAAATGGCCATTCCTGAGTCAGAGCTCACACTCTCGAAAGTGTGAAGGGGCAGCCTTAAAGAGGTTGTACAAGCATAGCTGCAGTGATGATGAGCAACACTAACACTGTGCCTACTACAGCTATGCTTGTGGGCCCCCACCCAGGTTTGTGGTTCCACCCCATGCTGGGGTCCACACAGGGAACCCCTTCCCTTGAGGCGCATGCTTTAGCCATCCAAATGATGCAGATCCCATGAGGAAGTGCTCTGCAACTACTCCATCTGCTGTTGCTCTGCAGGGCTACAATCCTGCAAGGCAATAAGTCCCATGGTAGCTTGTTCCACTGAGCCACTAAGCACAGTTGGGTGGCTGCCAGGCATCCCAATCCACAGTTGTATCCTGTTCCCCACCTGGGGGGAGGGGGTGCCCTGGAAAAGGAATATGTTGATAGCCCAGTATGGGGGTTCCAGCATCCTTATTCCCTCTTCAGAGTGAACTCTCACAAGTGCAGTTTCCTGAGAGAATGTCCCAGTGCATGACAGGGGGCGTGGTGCCAGGTGGGCCTGGATCAGGTTGTCCCCATGCACATCCATTGTGAGCCTTGGGTGTGGGAGCCAGCATTCTTGGGGTGACACCCAGACTTATGCAAGGAGAATGAGGGAGGCAGACTTCCAGCTGGGGCAGCTGGATACCCACCCCTGCTCACCTATCACTGTGTGGCCATCCCCTTTGGGTTGAACCTCTGGAGAATGGGGTACCAGTTAGGGTTCTGAAATGAGATACATTAACCACACAGCATGGACTTTGCTCTCCCTATTGGGTGTTAGCTAAGTGTTCCCTCAGTGGTGTTCAGTGTCCTCTGTCTCCCACACCAAAGTGTAATGCTTTGGCTCTAAGTGGACACATTGCATACCTTTGAGAAAGAGTTTTGTGGTGTTCACCCTACCTACTAAACTATGAGGTATTCTGGCTGGGGTTTATACAGTGCTGAGAGGGTTGTGATTGGGTTCAGGGGGGCTGGCCACTGCTGGGGAAAGCGGTAATTGGGTGCAGCCGTAGCTGGCACCTGTGTTCTGTTGTGGCTTTTAGGGAGGAAACACCTTGGGGAGCATACTTGGCCATTTCCATTGTATAGGTGCCAGTAGGCTGCACCATGTTTTTTGATGGTGTAGCTTTTCACTGGATTGGGGGGAGGGCATTGCTCAGCTGAGGTGGCTTAGGGAGCCAACTAACTCCTGCCATACCCTGGGTTTGCCCCTTTCCCTGCCAGTGCAGTGGCTTGCACTGGATTTGTTCCACTGCATTGCCACACCAGCACTCAGTGAGGGTGCTCCACCAGCATATCTTGGAGATAGACTGACATAGCACCTAGTCAGCTCCTTGTGCACTTTCACGCCCCCCCTTCTGGATTGCACTGTAAAAGTGAGATCCTAAGCAGAGTTACACAAAACGATTTTAGTATTTGACTGTTGGGTTGGCTGTGTTGTAGTCTATTCAATAGAAAAATGCAGTTGAGCTTCTGGTTTTGGCGTTCGCTATGGCAGTCAGTCTCCTGGACCTCCGGGAGATGATTGCTAGAACCTGTGGCTAGGAGGGGGTGTGATTGTCCGCATCCCCCACGGAACCCTTGCTAATAGGTTCCAAGCCATGGGGCGCTAGACGGCTTCTCCACCGGCGATCCTGCTGGTGAAGGGGGGGCCATCCATGCCCCGACGGTCCTGCCGTGGAGTTTCCAGATGGAACTACAAGTGCACACCGGATCAAGCACCAGGTGATCTAGAGATTTGGCAACATAAGCGAAATGGAAATCGTCTAATCATTGAACAGTGAGTTAAGTTGAAGCGAGAACACCAAAAACACCAAAAAGAGCGAAAGCCGCCCTGCGGGAAGCGGGGGGGGGGGAGGACTCTCCTCCGATAAGACAGACTTAAAGCGAATTCTATCATTAAAGTGGGGGGGAACAGGCTTTCAAAGTGAAAAAGACTGAAATAAAAGACTTTTCAGAACTTACCAAGTGTAACTGAGAACTTTAGGGACTGTGGTAACTTTTGACAAAAAGTAAACAATTCCTCAAAAATGGCGCCTCCTACGAGGAAAGAGGAGAAGGAGAAGATAGTGAAAGCTAAGGCTACCGAAAATGCCAGCCCAGCAAGTGTTGTGCCCAGACAGGACACAAACTGAGACTTTCAATGGATATTAAATGAAGCACTATGCCCTCTGCTGGAACAAGTGACAGAGATATAGCGAAAGCTGGATATGCAGCAAGCTCAAATTAACGAGACTGTCAAAAAAAAGACCAAATGGACCAGCAACTTAAATTGAGGAAGCCAAAGGAGAAAAAAAATACTGTAATCTGAAGTTAAAAAAATGTTTAAAATAAGCTTTCTTGGGCTTTTTATGAAGTC